AATTAAGTGAACAATCTAGTAATATTATATTTTCCAACAACTGCAAATTGCTTTGACTTGAGCAAGTCAAATGCTTTCAAAGGTGAAATAATAGTAAGAAGACCTTACAATTTTCTTAGCAGAGCAAAATTTCTACTACTCCGAGGAATAATGAACACCTACGAAAAGATGTTAGGGATATCTCCCCCTTTATACCTCCAACATGAGAATTAGTAATCGAATTTTTATGAAAATAACTTAAGGAAAAACGAGAAATAGTTTGAAAATTATTTTGTAAAATGAAGATCATCATACCTGGCACGCCTATGAAGTATTTAGAGCTGATTTGACAATCATTATTATAGAAAAAAGAGTTTTGAATAGTGATTTTAAGAAGAATATGTAATTAAAAGTAGGAAAGTGTTTTTTGTTATATATATAGAATATTTTATTATGTGAATATGTGGTTGAAAATAATGTGTGTCCAACAGGCACTTATATGCCTGGTGTCATATAAACACTAAGTTTTTATTGGCAACGTGTCCAATGTCAATGTCCACTCACTAGACAGTTCTCGCCCCCATAATGAGTGGTCAACTTTGATACAGTAAACGGTTAATGAGATCAGTGGTAACCATTAGGCAATTTTCAATCAATTAAAATGATATTCAGGCGGTTGAAAGTCATGGTGATCGATCTACCATAACATTAGTCAATCTATCGAAGTCAAGCTAGCATACGATAGTCGGTTAACCATAGCAGTAGTCAAACTAGCATAGTGGTAGTTGGTCTGCCATAGCAGTAATCAAGCTAGCATAATGGTAGTTGATCTACCATAGTGATAGTCAGGCTAGCATAGCTATTGTCGGGCTAGCATAGCCGTAGTAGGTCTACTAAAGTGCCAATCGAACTAGCATAGCGACAATCTATCTACCATAATGGCAGTCAAGTTGGTATAGCGATATTCGATCTACCATAATGATAGTCAAGCTAATATAGTAGTAATCAATCTACCATAATGATAGTTAGGCAATTGCCTTCACTTAGTTAGCCATCATAGTCCATTATTCATATCACATAGGAGCACTAGCCCTTCTATCTTTAGTCGATAGTTATTGTTAAGAGGAAGCATCTACATTCATTTTTTTTTCTAAGTGTCTCCTTCATTTCTTCATCATCAAGGTAATCCTTTCATCCACTCTCATTTTCCTGAAATTTCTTTCATTCTTAGCAACCCCTATTTAATTTACATCAACTACGAAATAGTGACAATAACAACGAGAGAATGAGAGCCGACTAGATGGCAGATTGGTCAATCGAGAACATCTGATCGATCGACCAGTGAATATGTGGTCGATCGACCAATGGATATGTTAATTGATTGATTGCTTGATCGATAAGTGGAGATGGTAGATCGATCCCTCGAGATAACGGCCAGTCGACATATTTTAGGGATTCCAAGTTAGCAAGTTTCTCTTGCCTCTATTTTTGTGTTCGACCGCATCGTGATCATCTACCATGCATGATTGACTAGTTGATGAGTCAATCACTAAGTGGTCAACATATCATACGTTGATCGTATAGTGATCAACCTTGACATGCATCCATCGCATCGATGGTCAACTGTTGTTGATGAGTCGATTGGTATGTGATTGACTACTTAGCGACTGCTGCATTAGTTTTGGCAGCCATCATCGTTGCCCGACTACTTAGCAACTGCTGCATTAGTTTTGTCAGCCATCATCGTTGCCCGCTACTCGATTGTGCTATTTCAAGTTTGTTTAGCAAATTTTGGCTCCATATTCTCAATTGGTGATTCTTGAGCTTTAACCATTGCTTTAGTTTTCTTGCTCATCGCTTAGCCCCTTGAGCAATGTTGAGGTATTGAACTCCGATTTAGTGATTTTGAGCTTTAATCAATTTTTTGGTTTTGAAAGCTCGCCACTAAAATCTAAAGTGATTTTGAACTTGTAACCAATTTTTTTGCTTTCTAGCTCATCGCCTAACCCCTTGGGTGATGTTGATCCCGTTTAGTAATTTTGAGCCTTAACTAAGTTTTTAGTTTTGAAAATTCACCACTAGGACCATAGAGTGATTTTGAGCTATAAACATTTTTTTTTTTTGGGTTTCTTGCTCACTGCCTATCTCCTCGGACAAACTGTAGAGTGATTTTGAGTTTATATAACCAATTTTTTTGGATTTATTTTTGCTCATCACTTAGCCCCTTGGATGATTTGTTGTGTTAAACACGTGGTCTAGTGATTTTAAGTGTTAACCAATATTTTGGTTTTGAAAGTTCACACTACTATAAATGTAGAGCGATTTTGAGCTTATAAACATATTTCTTTTGATTTTCTTGCTCACGTTATAACCTCTCGAGCGATTTGTGTGCATAGCGAAGTTGGAGCCCATGATTGGTATAAGAAATCTCAGTAGATGTAGATCAAATCTATGCATTTACATAAAAAGCTTGCCTAGATTTGAGCGCTCAGTAGGCACACATGGTGTCCCAAATAGGTTGGCCCTTCCTTAATGCCATCATCGTCTACCACCATCTAGACTTTTCATTTAATAACGTTGATAATTAAAGAGGCTAAAACTAGTAGCATACATTACATTAGGGAAATTAATAAAATTCTTAGCAGCTATATTTACAAGGAAAATAGAAAGATATTTTACCTAACTATTTTGTTTTTTGTTTTTTTAAAACTCACCACCTAGCTACTTGGAGGTTCAAAAGCTAACATTATGATTGGTAGAGAGCCCTTAGCTTGTATGCTGTATACATAACATTTTCTTGAAGTGGGTTGATCACTTTTATACATCTGACCCCCCAATTGGTTGGGAATTTCATGACTTGGTGGTAGGTTGAAGGAACAACACCAATAACATTTAATAAAGATTGACCATAGATTACATTGTATGTCATGGGCATCTTAATGACTAAAAAGATTGCTAGGATCACCGCACTTGTCGAGTAAGTACCCAACATCAGTGGAAGCTCTTCGGTTCCCTCTGATATTACAATTGCCCTTCCGAACCCTTGGAGAAGGATAGTTACGGCTTTCAATTATTTTGTACAGATTTTCAACCCCAAAAATGCCTCCCAAGTAAGAAAATTTGCTAAACTACAGCCATCAACTAGCATACTCTTGACATCAAAATCTGCTATGTTGTCAATAACCACTAATACATCGTTATGAGGACTTGCTAAATCGATTAAATCTGCCTAACCAAAAGTGATATTCGGATTGAATCTTGCTTTTTTCTAAATGGAGTAGACCCCAACAAAATAGGCATAGCTCTTTTTAGTCGAATTTGAATCTCCATCTACTGCTATCTTCCCAATGATCATGTTTATTACTTCAACCCTAGGTGGAGGATGATCATTAACTTTTTCTTTGCCTTGATCATTTTTCACATACTTATTCAGGAATCTCCTTCTTAGAATGCACTCTATCTCATCTTTGAAGTATATGAAATTTTTCAGTGTCATGCCCATAATCTCTATAGAAATGGCAATACTTGTTTGTGTCCCTCTTACTAGTAGACATAACCACTGGCTTTAGTCAGTTGAGCTCTTTCATGTCTCGAATTTCCACCAATACCTTAGTACATAAAGTGTTCAAAGGAGTAAAGGCCTTAATATGTTTCAACCCAATAGTTGTCCTTCTCTTTCTCTTGCTACTTAAGAAATATATGACAAAAACTTCTAGAGAGCTCATTGAAAGTTTTGATAAACCATCGTGCTAGAGTAACTACCAGTCTCTAGTCTCTCTCCTTAGTGTTGGTGGAAAGGACTGACACGTCAATGCATTTGGGACCGTATACAACCTCATCAAATCAATGAAAGTTTATAGATGATCAAGTGGATCTATGAATCTGTCACATGCCTCTACCATTAGTTGTTAAAGCATTTTGGTAGAGGAACTGCCATGATCTCAGGTGCGAAGTGGTCTTCCTCCAAGATCATTTGCTTGTATCTATCCTTTATTATTGACAATGCAGCTACTATCTTCTAGGCTATCATTTTCTCTATCTTACGCTTCAAGTCTACCATAGATTATGGAATTTGTGGATGTATGACTTCATAAGACCCTTGATCTACAACCATTGATTGAGTAATCGGAGGGAGGGGATAATTGTTTGTGCACTTGGGGCGGTTGTTCGTGTATATCTAGTGGTGGCGTTTCTGGTGGATTGAGGGATGGATCATTCACTCTCTCAATCTAATTTTGGAAAAGAGTCATCATGGCAGTCAATTGAGTCTCTAGGATACTAAATTGACTCAATGTTACAAATTGAGGTTGTGACGATGGGTCTTGACCCTGGGTAACAGACTCCGACTCCATCGTGTTTCCAACCAAATGCATGTCACTCCTAGTCCGCCTTTTTCAACATAACTTTTGCGTTTAGAATGTTTTCTACAGGCAGCGCTAATGGAATATTAATGTGAAGATCTTTCAATTTCCTTAGTGGAGTAAAATAGCCTCTACTACTCCGATAAAAAGGAACGCCTACAAAAAAACAGTTGGGCTATCTCTCTTGTTGTACCTCCAAAGTGAGAATTAGTGACCATATTTTTATTAAAATAACTTAAAGAAAAACGAGAGACAACTAGAAAATTATTATGTAAAAAGAAGATCTCCATACCTGACATGCCTATAAAGTATTTATAAATGTTTGGTGTTATGTAACGCTAAGTGGTTATTGTCCACGCATCCAGTGTAGTACATCCACTCATTTGGCGGTTCTCACCCACGTAATGAGTGGTCAACTTCCATCCACTAGATAGTTAATGGGATCAGAAATAACAATCATGTGGTTGGAAGTCATGGTGATCGATCTACCATAACTGTAGTCGGTCTACCATAGTAGCAGTTAAACTAGTATAGCAGTAGTTGGTTTACTAGAGTGGTAGTCAAGCTAGCATGACGGTAGTTGGTCTACCATAGTGGTTGTCGAGCTGGCATAGCAGTAGTCGAACTAGCATAGTGGTAGTCAGTCTACAATAGTGACAATCAATCTAGAATAGCGGTAGCCCATCTACCATAGTGGGAGTCAAGCTGGTATAACGGTAGTCGATCTACCATAGTGGTAGTTAGGTTGGCATAACGGTAGTCAAGTCGACATAGCGTTAATTGGTCCACCATAGTGATACTCAAGCTAGCACAACGATAGTCGATCTATAAGAGTGATAGTCAAGCTAGTATAACAATAGTTGGGTTAGTATAACGGTAGTCTGGCTACCATAGTGATAATCAAGCTAGAATAGCGCTAGTCGATTTACCATAGTGATACTTGGGCAGTTGTCTTTACTTGGTTTGCCATCATAGTCTATTATTCATATCACATAGCATCAAAAGGCAAAAAGCTGACTAATTATTAGTTAGGTAAATTAGATATATTCAACTTAGGCTGAGCAAGAAGTAATAGTCAAACTGTCAATGTAAATCAATATTTAGAATTTTGAGAAAAGGAATGACAAAATATATCGATTCATCTTGTCCTTGGTGAAGACGAAAAATATGGGCTGCATTTCAAATCTTTATATTATTTTCATTTTTTCAATTTAAATTACATAAAAAAATAAAAAAATAATAATACGATGGTAAATATCCGGGGCCTTGTATTCAAGAATTTTCAATGGAACAAGAACTGCGAAGTCTACTTAGCCCTGCTGCCATTCTTTTTTTGCGAAAATGAATAATAATACAATAGGAAATTCAGAGCCTGCTTGAGCTCCATTTTTTGTCCAAAATACATTTTGGAATAACACGTTGATGGGAAATATGTGATTAAAAAATAAAGAAAAATTTTGAATTTGTGTGTAATAATATTTTATTGAAAAATATATGGTTAAAAATAAGAGAGAAAAATATTTTCTGGAAATAATGAGAACCAAAAAGGCTCAGTAGAAGTCCGATGTCACTTAAAAATAAGAATAAGAATTCCAGGTAAAATAAAATTAGTTCCATAGAAATGTTTGTTTGGCACATTGCCAAAAAAATAAGTAAGAGCAGTAATACGTAGCATTATCGACTTACCAAACTTTTATCTTTTGACATATTTTGACTGTAACAAGTCAAAGCATTGTAGGCTCTGATATGCCTTTATTAAGCAATGTTACGAAGAATTAAGTTAGTTAATTTTTTTTATTAATTTAAAGCTGAAGATTCACATCCTTTGGTCCAAACAAAGGAGAAACTGTTCACTTAATTAATTAAAAGTTAACGTTTCAAACACTTTTAGTCCAAAAAAGGACTTTTCATGATGCGTCTAATACCAAATGGAAATGTTGAATTTAATTATTGTTGAAATCATTGAACGTAATTCGATTATTCTATGAATTAATTAATTTTTTTTTTTCACTATAATCATGATAAATACGCCCAGTAGAACCCTAATCACGCCTAAACTATATTAATATTATTTTTGTCCCTCGGAGCATAGTCCAGTGGTGTAAAGGACATGAGTGATGTTATCTCATGCCTTGCTCGCAGCCAGTGTGAGTTCGATTCCTGAGACATAGAATTGGACTCCTTGTAGGTGCAGTGTACAGGCAGCTCTTGTTTTCTAGCCTGCTGGAGCACATTTCGCGATTTATCTTCCTTATAAAGCTCTAGGAGTGGGGCGGTGGAAGCCCTCAAGGTTGGGATTCA